CCTACCAATAGAGATTAACCAAAGTCAATTTAATGAGTGGGACAAAATGTTATCTAGATATATATGGCAAGGTAAAAGACCAAGGGTTCGCCTCAAAACTCTACAGCTGGCTAAGCAAAAGGGAGGATGGGGCCTCCCTGACCTCAGATACTACTACTTTGCAGCGCAGATGAGAGCAATAATATGCTGGTGTAACCCATCATACACTGCCCAATGGAAAACCACTGAGGAACAAATGCTGTCTATTCCTATTCAGGCAACTCTAGCTGACAATAATCTACAAACCTATATAAAAAACATTGATGACCTGTGGGTGAAAAGAACCCTTAAAACATGGAGAACTATTATAAAGGAATATAAACTCGAGACCAATATTACAGTTCTTAAATGGTGTGCTTACGACTCAGAGTTCAAACCTAATGAACTGGATTCTAGATTCAAGGACTGGACAGGTAAGGACATAACAGCCCTGTGTAGTATAATGAAGGATGGAAAATTGTTCAGCTTTGACACGCTTAGAAAGACATTTTCATTAGAAAAACAAGACTTCTATCGATATTTGCAGTTAAGGCACTATGCTGACACGAAGATGAGAAACGTAACAATGATAAACACACGCTTGATGGAACTGTTTATAAAAAGCTATAACTTTATATATAACATGTCTCTATAAGGGTCTAATGGATTTGAAACCACATTCGACTTCATATATTAGAACAAAATGGGAGAAGGAAGGAGGGATAAAAATATTAGAGGAAGAATGGACGGCAATATGGAGGTATCAGTGGATGTGTACCAGCTCACGAAAGTGGAGGGAATTCGGCTGGAAGTGCCTAATTAGATACTTTATAACACCTTCTCAGAAGTCTCATTATGATGATAATTCCCCTGCTTGTTGGAGGAACTGTGGAAATCAAAGTGCAAATCACTACCACATTTTCTGGGACTGCTCTATCTTGAGGGATTATTGGAGAGAAATACATAATGCCTTACAGGATATCTTTAAATGTGAAATACCCCTCGAGAGTAAGACTATGTTCTTTGGATATATACCTCAGGAATGGCCTAAATATGATAAACATTTAGTAAATATTCCACTGGTGGCCTGTAAAAAGAGTATCACCAGAAAATGGTTATCCCCGGAGAGCCCAAACATACAGTAGGGCAAAAAAGTATTTAGTCAGCCACCGATTGTGCAAGTTCCCCCACCTAAAATGATGACAGAGGTCAGTAATTTGCACCAGAGGTACACTTCAACTGTGAGAGACAGAATGTGAAAAAAAAATCCATGAATCCACATGGTCGACGCTTCGACGCTGCAGCAATTAAAACAACAAACGGCTGCGCGCGCTCGGAGTGCACCAGTGAAGAAAATGCATTCGTCATCACAGAGCATGCCGTGAGGAACACCTTCAGGAGGGTGAACACCAGGAAGGCAGCAGGACCAGATGCAATCCCTGGCCGGGTCCTTAGAGCCTGCGCTGATCAACTAGCACCGGTGTTCACGGAGATCTTCAACCTCTCCCTGGCCCAAGCTGTGGTTCCCACGTGCTTCAAACGGTCCATCATCGTCCCTGTCCCAAAGAAACAATAGCCCGCTTGCCACAATGATTACCGCCCAGTAGCACTGACTTCAATAGTGATGAAGTGTTTTGAAAGACTGATGAGAGATCACATCACTTCTTCACTTCCTGCCACCATTGACTCACTTCAGTTTGCTTACCGGACTAATCGTTCCACAGACGATGCCATATCTCACCTGCTCCACACATCCCTGAGTCACCTGGACACTGGCAGAGGGAATTATGTTAGGATGCTGTTCGTGGACTACAGTTCAGCATTCAACACAATAATTCCCTCTAAGCTTTTCACCAAGTTGACGGATCTAGGACTCAGCTCATAACTGTGTCAGTGGATCCTCAACTTCCTCACAGACAGACCCCAATCAGTGAGGGTAGGAAAACAAGTCTCCCCCTCCATCTCACTCAGCACTGGAGTGCCTCAGGGCTGTGTTTTAAGCCCCCTGCTGTACTCACTGTACACTTATGACTGTGTAGCCACATCCGACACCACCTCCATCGTCAAGTTTGCTGACGACACTGCTGTTGTGGGCCTGATCTCCGACAACATCGAGACGGCCTACCTGGAGGAGATTAGGAACCTGGAGACCTGGTGCCAGGAGAATAACCTCCTCCTAAACATCAGCAAGACTAAGGAGCTGATCGTGGACTTCACTACAAAGCAGGCGAGGAATTACAAACCCCTCATCATCAGTGGCACGCCAGTGGAGAGAGTGGACAGTTTCCGATACCTGGGTGTCCACATCACTCAGGACCTGTCATGGTCCTGTCACATCAACACCCTGGTTAAGAAAGCCCGTCAGCGTCTCTTCTTCCTCAGAAGACTTAGAGACTTCCATCTGCCACTGAAGGTGCTCAAGAACTTCTACTCCTGCACCATCGAGAGCGTCCTGACGGCAAACATCTGCACCTGGTTTGGGAACAGCACCAAGCAGGACAGACGAGATCTGCAAAGGGTGGTGCGCTCGGCAGAACGCATCATTCAATCAGAGCTCCCTGACCTGCTGTCCATCTACACCAAGCGGTGCAAGTCCAAAGCTAGGAAGATTATGATGGACCTCTCCCATCCCAACAATGGACTCTTCTCACTGTTGAGGTCTGGGAAGCGCTTCCGCTCCCTTAAGGCCAAAACAGAGAGAATGAAGAGGAGCTTCTTCCCCCAGGCTATTCGGGGCCTGAACCAGGTGTAGGACTGGACTCTCCCAAACACGTCACTATAAGACTGGACTCTCACGTCACCACACGCACCACCACACATTTCCTATAATCCTATAATTCCTATAATTTATAATCCTTATCTTTATAATCTCTTCTGCTATTTGCACATTCTTTACTGTAAATTCCTAAGTTAATTTGTAAACTTTTGTAGTAAATTGTAAATATTGTAAAACTTTTCTTCTGTCATTTAATGGTCGGGCATTGTACAGCTACAAGCATTTCACCCCCATGTCATACTGTGTATGGTTGTGTGTGTGTGACAAATAAAATTTGAATTTGGTAGGATTTGTAAAGAATTTATTCGTAAATCAGGGTGGAAAATAAGTATTTGGTCAATAACAAAAATACAACTCAATACTTTGTAACATAACCTTTGTTGGCAATAACAGAGGTCAAACGTTTACTATAGGTCTTTACCAGGTTTGCACACACAGTAGCTGGTATTTTGGCCCATTCCTCCATGCAGATCTTCTCGAGAGCAGTGATGTTTTGGGGCTGTCGCCGAGCAACACGGACTTTCAACTCCCGCCACAGATTTTCTATGGGGTTGAGGTCTGGAGACTGGCTAGGCCACTCCAGGACTTTCAAATGCTTCTTACGGAGCCACTGCTTTGTTGCCCGGGTGGTGTGTTTTGGATCACTGTCATGTTGGAAGACCCAGCCTCGTTTCATCTTCAAAGATCTCACTGATGGAAGGAGGTTTTGGCTCAAAATCTCACGATACATGGCCCCATTCATTCTGTCCTTAACACGGATCAGTCGTCCTGTCCCCTTGGCAGAAAAACAGCCCCATAGCATGATGTTTCCACCCCCATGCTTCACAGTAGGTATGGTGTTCTTGGGATGCAACTCAGTATTCTTCTTCCTCCAAACACGACGAGTTGAGTTTATACCAAAAAGTTCTACTTTGGTTTCATCTGACCACATGACATTCTCCCAATCCTCTGCTGTATCATCCATGTGCTCTCTGGCAAACTTCAGACGGGCCTGGACATGCACTGGCTTCAGCAGCGGAACACGTCTGGCACTGCGGGATTTGATTCCCTGCCGTTGAAGTGTGTTACTGATGGTGACCTTTGTTACTTTGGTCCCAGCTCTCTGCAGGTCATTCACCAGGTCCCCCCGTGTGGTTCTGGGATCTTTGCTCACCGTTCTCATGATCATTTTGACCCCACGGGATGAGATCTTGCGTGGAGCCCCAGATCGAGGGAGATTATCAGTGGTCTTGTATGTCTTCCATTTTCTGATGATTGCTCCCACAGTTGATTTTTTCACACCAAGCTGCTTGCCTATTGTAGATTCACTCTTCCCAGTCTGGTGCAGGTCTACAATACTTTTCCTGGTGTCCTTCGAAAGCTCTTTGGTCTTGGCCATGGCGGAGTTTGGAGTCTGACTGTTTGAGGCTGTGGACAGGTGTCTTTTATACAGATGATGAGTTCAAACAGGTGCCATTCATACAGGTAACGAGTGGGGGACAGAAAAGCTTCTTACAGAAGACGTTACAGGTCTGTGAGAGCCAGAGATTTTCCATGTTTGAGGTGACCAAATACTTATTTTCCACCCTGATTTACGAATAAATTCTTTACAAATCCTACCATGTGGATTCATGGATTTTTTTTTTCACATTCTGTCTCTCACAGTTGAAGTGTACCTCTGGTGCAAATTACTGACCTCTGTCATCATTTTAGGTGGGGGAACTTGCACAATCGGTGGCTGACTAAATACTTTTTTGCCCCACTGTAAGTACATGGATGGAAATCACAATGGAAATCTATAACATGGAAAAGATAACAGCTTCTGTTAACCACAAGCTGGAGAAATTTACATCATACTGGGAAAACTGGGTCAAATATATCACGCCTCACAGGCCAGATTTTATTTTTACAAACCAATAACTGTGATGTATGAGAGCATATATTTATAGGATCACCCCCTACCAACACATCCGTTTTTTTGTTTCTTTTGTTTTGTTTGTTGGTTTTATTTGTTTTCTTATTTTGGATTATGTGATTGTTTCAATTGCTTCTATAGTTGTAAATATTCTCTCTTTATGACTTGGATGTAAATTAAAATACTATTTTGGTATCTAAGGCAGATAACCTAAGCAAGAAGTATGCTTACATGATGTACAGACTGTGAATGCCTGCTTTTGAAACCTTAATAAAAAAAAGATATAAATAAAAAAAAAAAAAAGAGTTTCAATTCAGGACATGAAACAGTTCCTTTATATTTTAAAACTTGTTTTAAAATAAGACAAGAACACAAGTGCACATTACAAACTACCAGTCAGAGGTATGAAGGAACCTTACAGTAATGGGTAAAAGCAACAATCACCCTTTTCAATATTCCACTCATTTGTTTTATTTCATTATTTGTTTGGCAACTGGCAGCTCGACACACCAGGACATAATCCAAATTCATCTCCGAGAGCGTCCTAGTCCAAAGCTGTACAAGAAGAGCATTAAAATGTTTGTGTATCAGATCTCTTTGCACAGGTTGGGATATCTCTTCAGAAGCGCCGTGGCTTGCTTTGGTGGCAGACGTCCTCCCTGGATGTTGCTCTGTCCAGCTTTATTCTTCGCATCAGCCTACGAAGGAAGAAGAAGATTTATTACAGATGTGTTTATGAGAGTAATGTTTCTAAACTACAACAAGGACACTTCTGCCCACTTTCAGCCCAACATTTTGCAGGAGTTCAGAGGTTAGAAAGAATAATGAGGAAGAAGCACAGGTGTGTGCTTCTAGTCTCCCAGGGCTGTTGCTGAGCTGGCCGGTTCACTGAAATGTAACTGTACCTTCTATAAAGTAACCGAACTCTCAGCTCAATGTCAAAACACAGAAAACTGATGTAAACCACCAGTCAAAGGTCGAATGTTTTTTCTTTATTTTCATAACTATTTACATTGTAGATTCTCACTGAAGGCATCAGAAGTATGAATGGACACATTTGGAATTATGTAGTAAACACAAAAATGTGAAATAATTCAACTTTTTTTATACTGTAGATTCTTCCAAATCCCCCCTTTGCTTCGATTAATGCTTTGCACACTCTTGGCCTTCTCTCCGTGGGTTTCACGAGGTCGTCACCTGGAATGGTTTTCCAACAGTCTTGAAGGAGTTCCCAGAGATGCTGAGCACTTGTCGGCCTGTTTGCCTTCATCCCAAACCATCGCCACTGGGTTTAGGTCAGCTGACTGTGGAGGCCAGGGCACCTGGTGCAGCACTCCATCACTCTCCTTCTTGGACCAATAGCCCTCACACAGCCTGGAGGTGTGTTTGGGGTCATTGTGCTGTTGAAAAATAAATGATGGTCCAACTAAGTGCAAACTGGATGGGATGTGTCTGCAGGATGCTGTGAGCCACGCTGGTTCAGAATTCTGAATAAATCCCCAACAGTGTCACCAGCAAAGTACCCCCACACCATCACACCTCCTCCTCCATGGTCACGGTGGGAACCATGCATGCAGACCGCAGTGGACCATCGGACCAAAGCACAGATGTCCACTGGTCTAATGTCCGTTGCTTGTGTTTCTTGGCCCAAACAAATCTCTTCTGCTTGTTGCTTCTCCTTAGTCGTGGTTTCTCTGCAGCTATTTGACCATAAAGGCCTGATTCACACCGTCTCTGAACAGTTGATGGTGAGATGTGTCTGCTACTGGAGCTCTGTGTGGCATCTATCTGGGCTCTAACCTGAGGAGCTGCTAACTTGTGATTTCTGAGGCTGGTGACTCGGATGAATGTATCCTCAGCAGCAGAGGGGACTCTGGGACGGTCCTCATGTGAGCCTGTTTTGTTGTAGTGTTTGATGGTATTGTGACTGCACTGCACACAGTCAGTTTTAGCCATTTTTAGGACTGACTGACCTTCAGTTCTTAAAGTCATGATGGGCTGTTGTTTCTCTTTATTAGCTGATTGGATCTGTCAAATAGGGCTGTCAACTATTTACCAACCTGCCCTGCACAACACAACTGATGGTCCCAACAGCAATAAGAAGGCAAGAAACTCCACAAATGAACGCTGACAGGCTCACCTGTGAGGTGACCATGTCAGGTGACAACATCATGACGCTCACTGAGAGAAGGCCGAGGGTTTGCAGCCCTGTCAACAAAGCAAAGTGTGGCTGCTTTGAGGAATCTAAAATATGAAACATATTTCTATCCATTTATTTAGTTATCTTTTTTTTTCTTTGCTACATAATCCTGTGTATCTTGCTTCATATATTTGATGCCTTCAGTTTGTATCTACAATGTAGAAATGAGGAAAAATAAAGAAAAACCATTACATGAGAAGGTGGTTCCAAACGTTTGACTGGTAGTGTATATCTGTTAGGAATGGTTGTTTTCTGCCACTTGGTTAAGGTAAGTTGTACATCAAGATCACACGAGGATACATAATTTGCATATGATGCATAATTTATTTTCCATTTGTGTTACTCTAAAATAACAGTAACACTCTTCTCCATCCCCATTCTTAGTTTTTCTGTACTGCTAGAGTCACAGTTAATGCATGGGCATGTTTCACTGAATTCTGCAGAGCATGGACATACCTGAGCCTTTTCCACACACATATAAAAGCTGTTAATCTCATTAGAGCACAGAGTGTCCACAAAGTTGTTCTGCTTCCAACAGGCCATCAGGACTGACATTTCAGTGATACAAGAGGCCTCTGTGGAGAAAGACATTCGTGTTTACACATTAATCCAACTTGAGTCATTCATAATAAATCATTTAACTGGACTTCTACAGGCAACTACAAGTGTAAAGTAAATCCAGATACTTGTGTATAAACACAGAAACGTAACTCTGTTGTAGTTCTTTGAGAAAAACGTTTAATAAATGAATAAAATGTCTATTTGTGATTGATCTGAAACATCCTGCAGATCAAACTGACGTTTTAAATCATCTAAAGGCGGAGACATCTGTCAATTAATATTGCTCTTCTATTCTTCTACGACATCAGTATCCGGTCACTTTTGCAGCATTTAGTTCAATTTGAGTGGAGCACAGCCCCAAGCTCCACCCTGCTGCTACCATCAGCACTGAACTACGCTGCATGTAGTCAGCCTGTGGTGGGCCTTCTGCAGTCAGCCCTCTCGGTCCGTTAATCCTGCCGCGCTGATGTATTCATGTCTTTATGTTCTTACCCCCTTTCTTGGGTTTTCGGTTCGCTACAGCGTCTTTCAGAACCAGAGCCCTGTTGGGTTTGAGCACTGGTTTTCCGTTCTGTCCGCGGAGCAGTCTGCTGACCTTCTCCTGGAACACGATGCCTCCCTGCGTGGCCATCGTAGTGTGAAAGTCCTCCCCTCACTGTGCCTCAGCTCCACGGGGAGCTGCTGCCTCGCCGAGGAAATATTTTGAAACTTTGAGAATGAAAAAGCAGAAGAAAAGCTCTCAGTGTTTGTCTCGGTGCTTCATTACCTCACCAAGCTTAGCTGCGCGGCGCCATGTTTTACCGTAGAAAGAAATTAATTGTCGTAAAGGTCTTCTTCTGCTTTATATTATTATTGGCATATATTAGCATTGCAGCAAAACGCTGCATTACCGCCACCAACTGGCGTGGAGTGTGGACCGAAATGTCAAAAAATAAAGATAAAAAATCAAATCCTCCCAAACAAACGAGTCTGCCTTAAAAACAAACTATGGCCTGATAACTCTCACTTCTCCAGTTCTTACGAAATAAATCAACCAAGTCCAGCTTCACGTTCACATCACCAAGCTTTTGGATCATTGTCTTTTTTACAGCATCATATTTCTGACGATGCACTAAAACATGTTCTGTTGTTTCTTCTTCTCTATTGCAGAGTCGGTGTCGTAATGTGTACGTGTGGCGTGACATCATTTGCAAACGTTTTTTTAAATAATTGAAGGAAAACAAGTTACAAGAACACAAAAACGTTTAAAAGACAAGCCAGGGACTCACAGCAATAGCATTAAGAGTCAGAGAATATAATGAAATAAGACAGTAATAATGTTTTCATAAATAAGTAAATACACAGCAGGAGATTTTAAATAAAAACTGCAGTTTCTTACACAATTCAAGTTGTTTTCACAGCTTTCTGGTTGATGCAGCCAGCAATAGAGCTTCATTAATGTAAAAAATAGGACAGGGTTCTTGTTGCTAAATTTACAGTTATGAATGAACAGATTGATGGCATTATAATGGCATGGTCCAAAGCCAACAATAAAAGGATACTCAGTGGTAGCATCGGCTTGATACAAATCTTTATAAAAATCAAAAAATAACACAAATATTACTTTCAATGAGATGAGAATAATTATACTAGATAATAATCAATAATATAAAATTTACAAGTTTTCTATTACTGGAGATATGTTGAGTTAGTTTTCCAGAAAATAGCTTCACCATTCCAGGAAGATACATCAGGGTCTAACTCCTCTAATACTGAAACCAATGAAGAAGTGAAATGATAAAATTCTAGCATCAAGCAAAAATGTAATTATATGCAACACTCTCTGACTGGAAGAAATTAGTTTAACATTTAAACCTATTTTCTGCACATTCCAGCACATAAAATAAAATATTTTGTGTGTTTACACTCAGTCTTTCAAATAGATGCAAGTAAAACACAGCAGAAAATAAATAAAGTCAAAGACTCAGCGGTCCTGTTGCTCTATTTTCACCTGTAAAGCAGGAGTGGGGTAGGCGGAGGGTTACCCTGGTGCAGGTGTGCCGCGGTCAGTGGAAGAATCCGTGAGTTTCTCTGTGAGTTTCCCATTACGTCGTAGCTACTCGGTGCTTGTTGGAAGTTTAGGGGTTTTTTCGCTGTAAAAAGAAGTTTTCTTCCCACGCACAGCGGACACTAATGTTTTTGTCACTTTTTATGGAATCAAACTCAAAGTAAGGTCAGTACTTCCACGCTTTAAACGCTGCACGCTCATACTCTCTCCACACTCGATATATGATCCATTGTTGATCTGCACACAGCTGTTGTCACTAACGTCGCACTCGCTTACGTCACTGTCATGAGACATTCTCGCAAAATAAATCATGGTTTTAGTAACGCAGTAACGCAGCGTTCCTACGGGAAAGTAACGGTAATCTAATTACCGTTTTTGCAATAGTAATCCCTTACTTTACTCGTTACTTGAAAAAAGTAATCGGATTACAGTAACGCCATTCTTGTCCTTTTAGATCTGAGCTCAGCCTTTGACACCATTTCTCACTCTGTCCTTCTAAGCAGACTTTCCTCTCTCGGCATCTCTGACACACCCCTCGCCTGGTTTCAATCATATCTCCTCGACCGCTCCCAGTTTATTCAACTAAGATCATTCCGCTCTCGTCTATTCCCCGTCACCTCTGGTGTACCCCAAGGCTCAGTTTTAGGCCCTCTTCTCTTTATAATATACATCCTCCCTCTAGGTACCATCTTCCGCAAATTTGATCTTCAGTTTCACTGTTTTGCTGATGACACCCAGTTATATCTCTCTTGCAAACCTGATTCCTCCCTCCCACCTTCTTCCCTTACAGAATGTCTATCCGAGTTAAAATCCTGGTTTTTTAATTTTCTAAAGCTCAATGAGGATAAAACTGAGATCCTCCTTATTGGCACCAAATCCAGCCTTTTGAAGGCTAACCTTTTCTCACTCACCATCACTCCACAGTTTTCCCTTCTCCTCAGGTTAAGAGCCTTGGTGTCATCCTAGACAGTTCGCTTTCCTATAAATCTCACATCAGTAATCTCACCCGTTCTGCCTACTTCCATCTACGTAACATTAACAGATTGCTTCCTTCTCTTTCCACCCAGTCTACGTCCATTTTTGTCCACAGTCTTGTTACCTCCCGTATTGACTACTGCAATTCTCTTCTGCATGGTCTCCCCCAAAAATCCCTCCATCAGCTTCAACTGGTTCAGAACTCTGCTGCTCGCATTCTCACCAGAACCCCTCCTACCAGCACATCACCTGTTCTTCAGGAACTTCACTGGCTCCCTGTGAAATTCCGGATAATTTTCAGACTTCTTCTGCTCACCTTCAAGGCCCTTCATAACCTCGCTCCTTCTTACCTTTCTGACCTGTTAACCACCACCTGTTCTGCCCGTTCACTTCGTTCTTCTTCTTCTATCCAGCTTACTGTACCTTCCTTCCGCCTCACCACCGTGGGAAGCAGAGCTTACAGCTGCTCTGCTCCCAGGCTGTGGAATTCTCTGCCCCCTGAAATAAGAAACACTGGTTCTCTCCCAGTTTAAATCCCAACTCAAAGCTCATCTGTTCAAATCTGCATATTCACTGTGAATCCACTGTTTGTTCATTTTATCTTGTGCTTTTGTTTTATTGTTCTTATTCTGCCATTGTTTTACTAAGTGTTTTATCCTATTGTAAAGTGTCCTTGGGTGACTTGAAAGGCGCTCATAAATAAAATCTATTATTATTATTATTATTATTATTACTGCCCATCTCTGAACCCTAGTAAATACAAAATGCAGACTCTTTTTGATGATGGTTTCATTTATTGAAGGAAAAACGCTATCCATCTACCCGCCCATGTGACAAAGTGCCTAACCTTGTTAAATTCTGAATTTCTTTAAATAACAATATATTTTGGAAAGCTCAGATCAGTTTCAGGTGTGAGTACTGCCACACCTGCTGAATCAAGAAATCCCTTAAGCAGAACCTGTCTGACAAACTGAAGCAGGCTAAAAGATTTAATTTTGGTTGATTGTCAGTTGTTGGGATAGGATATCTTTCTAAGCCATGCTATAGCTATTAGGAATGGTTCTTGGTCAAAGTAGACATTCATTTTACCCGAATCTTTCCACTCATAATTGTTTCCCTCCATTTATTTTTCACAACATTAATTTCACCTTCCTCTGTATCCTCCTCACACTTTTGTTGGGACCATGGGTGCTTCTGCACAGCTGGTGCTAGTAACAGCAGCCTCCTGTGAGCCTTGTTGTTGCTGCTACAGTTGATGGTGCAGCTGCTGCTGCAGCCCTGACTTCTAACACGTCGGTTCATCTGACACACTTTGCTGCATTTATTCTCAATTTTACAGCTCCACCATTTCCCCATTTCTTCCACACTATACTCTGTTGGAGCGCGAGCTCACCGCAAAGGCCAGGAATGAGTCAGCTGCGTTAAGAGATTTAACTGGGTAATCTAATGAAAATCAAGGAATGGTCAGCTGTCAGTGTTTGTAAGGCCAACCAAGCAATTTGCAATCACGTTTACCTTCTGGTGCTTTCAATAGTGAGACATACCCTTCCCCCCAAAGTCCTTAGAGAAGAAGTATAAATACAAATATGTGGTGCTAATTATGAGATATTAGCCTTAAAGATAAAAGTGATTCCCAACAGTTACTCAGTCCAGCTCTGTCCACAAATGGAGAAAACCTGGAACAGAAGAGAACCTTCCCAAACCAAATTACTCCAAGATTGCACTGATGATTCATCCAGGAGGTCACAAAACCCAGGGGTCCATGGGAGCTTTCCAAGGAGAAAACTCACATTTAGTCATATTACTACCACACACCTGTATTTGTTTAGGATATCATGATAAACCAACACAAAGTACTGTGGAATTGTGAAGTGGAAGGAAAATACTACAGGGAGTTTAAAATGTTTTACAAATAAAAGTTTGACAGATGTGATGTGATTATTTATTAAGCTTCCTTTGATACCCAGTATGAATCCAGCTGATCTGTGAAGGCCTCAGATGTTTGTGAGAGAACATTAGTAAGCAAACAGCACCACCACCAAGACTGAGGAACACATCTAAGGGGGTCAGGGATGAAAGTGTGGAGAAGTTATAAAAACAAAAACAAACATCTCAAAGAGCACTGTTCAATCTATCATCCAAAAAAAGAGTAAAGTGGACCTAGTTTGGAAAGAAGAATGGGTGAAAATTACAATCTGTGGATGTGCAAAGCTGGTAGAGACTTGCAGCTTAATTTCAGTTAAAACTGTTCAACAAAGTTCAAAGAAAGTTTGATAAGACTGTTTTATTCCTTTGCCCTATGGGTCACTAATTTTCTCTGCCAGTTTGACACCTGTGAAGATAAGAAAAATAAGGATTTTAGCCATACTTTATTCGACTTCAGCACTCTGGAGGACTGCAAACAAGACCTGGACAGTCTACGGTATTTTATTGATGTTCCGAGCACGCTCCGTAAGTCTGTGGAGTTCAGCCCAGAACATCACGCCACTCAATCAGGTGATCTGCATCCACACTAGAGGCTTTCTGTGCTTCTCTATTTTCTTGTCTACACAGAACAATTAATGCAGGTTTAATCAGCATATCACTTTCCTGTTTTTCTTGTTATTATTATTGTTGGTTTTGGGTCAATCAGACTAAATCTTGGGTGGCTGTACGGTCTTATTCCACTTGCCCTGAAATTGAATTAAATATTTGTGTTGTAAGTGAAAATGTTCTGATGTCAAATCTTAATGTTCAACCGATATGCGTTGCTGAAATTAACATGCTGTCATCTACTTGCCCTTTACAG